GGGAAGGGAATGGGGGGGGCTGGGGGTGAGGCATTGTGGGGAACGGAGTTGGTCTGGGGGTGCAGGGGTGTCTGGGGGTTGGAGGACCAGGGTGTTGTGGGGTGCGTGGGATCTGCAAAGGCAGCGCCAGGGAGGGGCAGGGACTGATGAGGATGCAAAGGGTGCAGGGATGGGGAGTCTGGGCGCGTAGGGGATTTGGAGAGGCTGAAGGACTGTAGGGGCGGTGGGTGCAGGGAGCGAGGATTTGGGAGGGGATATACTGGGGACTTGGGATACAGCTGATGCAAGGCATGAGATTCACTTATAGGGGAAGGGGAGGGGGTTGGCATGGAGGAGAGATGGTCTGGCAGTGGAGGGTTGGAGGTGGGAAGCAGGGTGAGTGACTGGAGGGAAGCGTCACACTGAAGCAGGCCTCTAGACTCGGGGAGAAGCCCTGACTTCAGGAGTGTTTGTAGGGCAGGTCTTTTTCCATCCTATTTTGCCTGGTTCTGGCTCTCCCTGACCACCCAGCTTGTGATCTCTCTTCTGGAGCTCCAGTTTGGCTCTAATGAACATGCCACCTTCTTCCTTCCCTTGCTCTCCTGCTGCATGCGCCTTATCATCTGTAGCATTAAGAGGTGATGAGGAGAAAAAAAGTGCCCCGAATTCATAGGGGAGCGTGGGACATAAAAACCACTTCCTGTATCTCCTGCACTCTTGCAGATTAGTCAGAGCTTTAAGTAATGCCTATTCAAAGTCTACTGCTTTGTGGGGAGAAGTAGAAGGGACCTGTGAATACAGGTGTGTCAGGAGGAAAAAGTGCTTTCTAGGGCTTAGCTAATGTTGTTTGGGAAGGAGAAATGGTGAGTTCTCACCTGTGTTGTTCTGCCAGCATGGCTCTGTTGTTCATGCGACTGAACATGCAAGCTCTGGGTGGAGAATCCATCTTTATTTTAGTGCCAAGTGCCACCTCCTCAGTGCTGCTGTGCAGCAGAGATGAGTACAGTTAAGGTAGAAATAGCAATTAGTTCAATTTTTACATCTTGTAATTGCCATTCCTGTCTCATCTAGTAAGGATCAGTTTTTTCTATTTCAGAGAAGTCTGTCCTGTAGAAAGCCATTTGCTCCTGAAAAGAATCAACCCAGAACCAATTATGTGTTTGTTGTGTTTTTTTTTTTCCTCTCCCTAAGAATATATTCTAGTTCCTGACTGGAGAGCAATGTCCTTATTGAACAGAAATGAGATTCGCCCAAAGCAATGATGAGTGAAGTATTATCTGAACTGGTATTGCTGAGACTTTGTGTCTTTGCTCTGACCAGGGCGTGATCACGTAATCTTCTCTCTGAGCTTATTTAGGCTAAGTTCATCTCAGACTTAGATGAAAAGAAACTGTTGTTTCTTGAAAGTGTGTGATGCAGCTCTTAAAAGTAGTGAAAAATATGATTACTTTTCTAGCATTTTTTTGCAGCAGCAGCAGCAGAAAAAAGTTCAACATTGATTTGAAAAGTGAGTTGTGTAAATACTTGTTTGGATTTCTGTATCTTGCTGCCACATTGGTTTTATCACTGAGCTTGCTGTGACAGGGGTTTCTTGGCTTTCCTCCCATGGTAAAACATGTCCCACACAGACTCTAGATGGTCTGCCACTGTATCATCCATTTGTAAATACAGTGCGGACTCTGTAAAATGGAGGTTATCCTGTAGAGACCTCATGACCACTTGGTTCAGCTGTCTTATCATCCAATGATTGCGAGCACTGAGACAGGAGTATTTTTAGCAGTGAGCTGTGCTGTTGGGCCTGGCTCTGGTGCTCTGCTCTCTCTCAGGCTGCATGTCAAGATATGAGATGGGAGGGGCTGGCAGCAGCAGCGTAATGTGGCTGCTTCCCTGTTGGTAGGGCAGAGGATGTTAAAATTCGGGTATTGGAAAAAATGCAGTAATCAAGCACTCCCCAAAAGTCTTCACAGGAGAGGGTATTTATTACATGTTATGCACTGGGGTTTCCTGGGAGAAAGTTACTGGGAACACTTTCCCTTTATGCCCTAGGAGGACCAGGCTAGGCAGGAGTCACACAGAGCCCGATATGTGAGCTAGAGCCCAGCATGATTCACATCAGCTGTTTCACAATGATTTGTCTGTTGTATGTAAGGTGTTTTTTTCTTTAAGCTGTGTTATAGACTCAGATTTTTAGTTGTGCATGAGTAGTACAATATACAGCTATGTTTCCGTAACTTCTAAAATCTAAATGCTGTGAAACAAAATGGATTCTCTAGCTCTAGGAAGTGATTTGTATCTCGGAAAGTACAGGAACAATTTCACTAAAGAAAATTTGCAGATAGTATAATGAGTTAGGTTGAATTTTGATTCTTTTGCCTTGATGAACTCTCCAAATATCTTTAGTATTAGAGTCAGTGTTATGCTTTCAAATGGCTGCTTGTGATGGCATGTGACTCCCTAACCTGGAAAGGTATCTAGAAACAAAAGCACCCAGACTCTGTGGGCTGATGCAGAGGGCATTTTTAATTTTGGGGGTTTTGTTCTGGTTGTTTTTTCCAAAAGCCATCAGTATCACCTGGATGTTTGACTTTAGATAGTTTGCATTTAGTGAGGGGTGGGACTAATCGAAACACATGGAGTTGTGTGGGATAAGGTGCAGCCCTTTCACCAGCCACAAAGACTGGGCTAATAAGCAGGTGCAGAAGAAGATATGGAGGTATTCTCTAATCCTGTTCTCATTTTCTTCTAGGTCTCGATGACAGCTTTACATTCACCTCTCACTTGTGTGGAGAGGGAAGCTTCTATGGGGGAGGTGTATGTTTTATGTTGGGTTTTGTTCTTATCAAGCTAGGAGAATAGATATGGTGGTTATCTCTTAACAAGAGAGGCTATGCAGTTTCCGTTAAGGAAGTAGGGGAAGCAACTCAATTGTTAATGCACTCATGTTTTGAACAGTGACCGAGTTGTAATGAAGCTAAGCCGCATTCAAACATTTTTTTAAAAAAACGCTAGAAAAATCAAGTTATGACAGTGATGTATTAGGTAACTCCAGTGCCACTGTTAATGTTGAAGTAATTGTATTAAGCAACAGATCAAAGCTTCCTGAGCGTATATATGATACATGAGTGTATAGCGCTCCCAATTTGTATGTAAATGTGAAGGCTGGTGTAATAAAAGAGTATTTATTTCCTTAACAAGTCTTTCTTTGTATGTCTTGATACCATCACGGCTTTAACAGTACTATTGCAGTGTACAAAGTAGAAAAAGGGGATGTTTGAGTAATGTGCATTGGTTTTGTAGCTTTGTTTAGAGCAGCCAACTTAATGTAACAGGTATTTGGCTACTAAGCACAGGCCAGTTAGCAAAAGCAGTCAGATCCAAACTGGTATCCTGCAGCCACCTGCAGGAACACTAATAAAATCTGCCCGGTAACTGCCAAGTGTGTCACCATTATGGACTTAATGCCTATTAGTCAGATAGGCTTTAAAGAGCAATTTAACATTCAAAAGAATAATTACAGCTGTCCTAAACTGTGAAGCTTAGATGTGGGTGGTTCTGAGCAGGTCCCAGGTGGAGTCGGCCAAATCTGTTTGGCAGGAACTCAGCATTGTACAGCATGGGGGAGGAGAGAGATGGAGTGGAAGGCAGCCAGAGCCGGACAGGAGGCCATCCAGTGGCCACTCTGGAGAGGGAAATAGTTATTAACTCTGAGATCACTCGTTACCTGCTTGCCCAGTTTCTCACTGAGCAAGAGAGAGAGAATCTGGAAGGTATAGAAAGGACCGAAGGAAAACAAACCTATCTTAAAACTGAATAGTCAGTCAAATCCTGCAGCTCTTATTAAATGAGCGGTTGCTCTGGAGTCAATGGGACAGTCAGTGCCATGTCTGTATAATCAGACTGGTTATTTTAAGACCATGTAGCAACAGTGGAGCATCTTGGATAGTGGCTTTTCATTAGAGATGATAATCTCAGTGTATGAAGCAAAACTGATGTAGCAAGTGATGTGAGTTAATATGAAGCCCAAAGCCAGCTATATTAAAAGTGATTTAAAATCTCAGAAAATCTTGCATTCAATGTGATTTCTTTTCCAATAAGCTGTGTGTAAGTACTCTTAACAGCTTTCTAAAGGAAGAGAGGTATCTCTTTTCTATCAATCCCAGAACTACTGGAGGTAAGAAAAAACGTGACAGTTTTTGTTGTTATCCCATAGCGGCAGAGTTAGAAGGGGCTGGCAGTTGTATAGAAATAATAAGCATTGGGGACTTATCTCATTTGTTAGAAAAGTTGTGTGGTGTGTGTTTGTTTGTGTGTTTTTTCCCAGAGCACCTTTGGGAGAATGCAAATTACTGTATTTTTCCAGCCTATTCAATACACTCGTTATCTTGCTCACAGATGAGGGACGATTTTATTGATTTTTTTTCTGAAGCAGGGCTAAAAAGGTGGGGGGGGAAATGAGATCATTGGTTTTATGGATTAAATGTTAGAGCATATCTCTTAATCTGGAAAGACAGTATACTCTGTGCAGCAAACTCTGCTTCATATTCTATAGGCAATGTCACCGTGATGTCTGGAGCAGATAACTGCTGCTCCCTTGAGATGAGTCAAGAAAATCAACCTTCTGTCAATAAAAATCATGTGTCTGATCAGTCAGTGGTCTGAAGCCAGGACCACCCATAACATCATGCACATTTCCTTCTATTCCCTGTTCAATGTGCTACATGATCAGTCTAGATTGGGACTGGAATAACAGCAATGTAATACTAAATTCAAACACAGATATTACAGCTTTCCAGCCTGCAAAATACTAATCTTTTATCTATGACCATCATCTGCAAAGATAAGAGCAGCTTTAGTCTAGTCTCCTTTGTGCAAATAAAGATCCTAGAGGAGCAAACTTTCTTTTTTCAAACATTAGAAAAGAAACAAATGCAGTTCATTTAGTTCAAATGGGTTCTAAATCAAGAAAGAATTTTGCTTTGTAAAAGCAGATAACAACAGATTTGAGGACACATCTAACAAAAAAAAAAAAAAACAGTTCACAATTGCTGCTTTAATCTAGTTTGTCTTCCTCCCTGGTAGTCTTGTATCTGTGTTTGTACACATTATACATATCATCTCTTGTTCCTTTAAAGAGTCAAAGCCTTAATTTAGAACTGTTGATGGGAATTAGAGGTGTAATGTTATCATTAATTCAGAGGCGAGTAGCCTGAAAATGCATGGAGGCACTTAAGAATACCATGGTCAGAAAAGAGGTCAAAGTCTGTCTCTACCTCTTTAAGAAGCGCTAGTGCCAGAACCTGCCCCAGGCAGTACTAGAGTCTGTGAAGCGGCTAAGGGTGGAATAGCTCGCCTGGACAATTTTTGTAGCTCTCCAATTTGCTGGCCATACCCTCGAGCAGGATTTTTGCCAGCAGTGCTCTTTGGTTCTCACATCTGCATTCTTATTATCCAAATCAATGTCTCCTCCCATTCAGTTTGCCTTTGAAGGTGTTTCTATGCTGACTGACAGATCGTGACTGTCCTACCCTTCTGGAGCTTTGTCATGGGATGTTTGAATGGCTAAAAAACAAGAGGGCGAGCCTTATCGAAGTTTACCAAGGCAGCAAAAGTCTAATCTGTAGGACTCAAAGGAGCTTTAGAGATCCACTTGCAAGTTGTATTGGTCGATGGTCTTCTCGGGGACATCAGAAAGGGCAAATTCAGGCTCGTTGCTACCCAGTGGCCCTGCCACTCAGTCTCAGATGCATCTCTGTGAAAGCGCAGAGCCGGCCTTTCAGCTCTCAGGGGAATACAGTTTGACAAGGTGCTGTAGCTCTGTGGCATAGCCTGTGACTGGGCATCGTTGGTGAGTCTTCACGTAATTATACACGCAGCGGTAGCAAAATACATAGCCAGACGTGGACAGGACCGTGGCATTGGCTCGAATTTTGCGGCACAGCGGGCACATGGTCTTCAGTTTAGGTAAGAGAGCTGAGTCCACCCCATGGTCAAGGTGTACTGGTGGTGGAGGAGTAGGGAGCGCTGTCAGAGATTTGATCGTCTCTTGGTTTTCCGAGGAGTACCACCACTCCAGGAACTGAAGGAAGAATACGCTGACAGACAGCCCAGTGGACAGGGAGAAGGCAATGCCACCCAAAGCTTTCTTCATTGCTGACTGCACTTGTGCCTTAATGCTGTGGCAGGGAGAGAAGGAAAGGAGAAATTAGCAGTACTGCACATTTGTCCCTCTGCAAACCAAGGCTAAAAAGGTTTGGGGTAAGTTACTGCTCTATACAGCTTCTTAATGCTAAATGATTTTGTTAACATGTTCCATGTTTGTAATGAGACATCTGCTAGGGTGTTGCTCTCAGATTCTTTGTGTTTTAAGAAGAGCATAGCATCTCTAGGAAAATGTCAAGTCCTGTTTTTTTCAGAGGTCTAAATCAGAAGAGTTTGGGTTGAGGGGACCTGGATCACAGAACATTTCACTCATGGACCATCATTTTACAGGACATTAAATGTGACCATGACTAGTTGTGGCTAAGTTTCAGTCCTTTTAGCAAAATGGGTACAGTCTGCTTCCCTTAATAGAAAAGGGCAGCTAAAGATTGAATGGAACGGAGGCTGGAGTGCCAAAAAAGCATTCTGATTTTATTAGCACAAACTCCTGTGAAGCTAATGCCTCTTACTTTGTTCCTTATTTACACTTACTATCATGACATTCCCTTTTGGAGCAGGGTTTTGCCACATGTAAACTTCATCTTTCTGGAGAACAAGACAGCTTAACCTAGGGGCGTTGCCTCTACGTCAGCCCACCCACAGAACCTCCTAGCAAGTAGCTGCTAAGCCGAGTTCTAATGTACCTGTGTGTCCGACTCGAGGTGGCTACTGCAGATTTCTTCTCCAAGGCCTGGATATCATCTGCAGTCAGTCTCACCAGGCGAACGCCAGCCAGCTGCAGCATGGGTGAATGATGCTGAGCTTTCCCGAGGATATAGCACAGTTGCTGGATAAGAAACCAGCCCTCCCAGGCCATGTTTACAAATGGATAGGCAGCTAGAAAGGCTCTGTAAAAGCGCTTCCAGGACGATGAGGGAGGGTGGATGGAGTACTCATCCTCTTCCCTCAGACTGGACACCAGTTTCTCTAGCTTTCCTTTCAGGTAAGGAACAAGAACAAGCAAAAGGAGAGACTTCCAGTGCTGCTTCTTTGGCAGGCCAGCACTGGCCAGCGATTGTTTGCAGTCTCCTATTGCTATCCTCTTTAAGCCATAGAAGTTTTCAGAAAAAGAGGCACTGCACCTGGCCAGATACTGCTGCTGGAGCAGTAAATCCAGGAGGATGTAGATCTCATCAAACCAACGCCAGAGGGAGCCATATCGGCCAGGATTCGACTCAGCCAGCACCTATTGAAAGAAACACAAAATGGGGAAGGAGCTGATGGTGCAGACAGATGCTAAATTACAGTAACTGTAAACTATGCCTGCAGTTCATAAAGTGAGCTGAATGGGTCAAAACTGCTATGCTTGCTCACAGCTGTGGCCAAATGTGAATCCTGGTGATGAAAAGCTCAGCTGAGAGAGCGGTGTTCAAACTCTCGACGTTCTCTCTGTGCAGCAGTTTCCCCTCAAAGCATTCACTGTCAAGTATTCACTGTCTACATTACCTGTCCTCGCTAAAGGCATGCCTCCCTGCGTATGAATACAGTTGAGCTCTCTTGAGTCAACGGGACACAAGCCAACTCTGTTTTCCATCTTGATTCTGGCTTGCTTGAATCAAGGGCAGAGGGAGCTTGCATCAGTCTGCACCCTCTGTGCAGACGCAGACTGCTTGTCCTGCACTTCAGCTACCGTCTTGGACAGGCCATGTAACCCTTCTGCTGAGTTTCCTCTAGGGACCTTCCCCACGACACAACACTGTTGAGAAAGGCGGTTAACGCTTGCCAGGCAGTCTGAAGACAGCTTCCAGTAAGCAGTTTCTGAAGAGCACAAGGGAAATGAGAAACATAATACCGAAGGGACTTGTTTTTTTGGAGAGAGGCTCCTGTAGACTCACAGGGAGGGCGCCCAGCAGCCCCTCACATCGCCTCCGACGCCAGGACCCATGCGCCGCAATAGGGCAACAGGTCTGCTTACGCGCGGGAGCAGCACGCTGCCCAGTAATGAACCCTTCCAGCCACGCACCAAACCCACCACCGCCAACATCTCCTGTCCT